AGATAAACAAGACTTTTCATGTGCTTCATACCTTTTGGTAATTGAATGAGTTCTCTGCAACCTCTCAGATCTAGTGTTTGGAGGTTTTGGAGAGAGGTTATACATTCAGACAGTGTTATGAACCGGGAGCCTGAAACATCTAGATACCTTAGATGTTTCAAATCACAAATAGACTTCGGCATTTTCTTGGCCCAGACATTTCTTAAACTCAATGCTCGATGTTTTCGACCACGAATCTTTCTCCGTCCATTCAAAAGACCTGCATTCATCAAAAGAAGTGAGCGAAGTGATAGGACCTTGAGAACTTCAGAAGACGAAGCTACTGATTTGTTATAAAAAGCTACATGACGGGCAGTTTTAGGAATTTCCAACTCCCCATCGCCTTCTGTCGTATAGCATTCTTGTGCTGCAACGGACTGTGCAAGATCATGCATTTTACATGTTATGTTGCACTGCAATGGATTGTGCGAGATCATGCATAAGATCATGCATTTTGCATGTTACGTTGCCAAATCCATCATCATGGACCTCTTGCAGAAATGATCTTCCCACTAGTTCATTGAAAATCCCAAGACCCATAACGTGCAAATCCATTTCATTTCTGCAAGAAATAAAGCCATTTGCCATCCATAAAGCAATCAACTCCTCCCTCCTCATCACGTGATAGATGAGTATAACTAAACCTCAAAGCAGGTAAAATCTCGCTTGCTTCTTCTCTTAGATCCCAAATCTCACTTTGTTTTACTTTTATCCATTCATCTTCACTTTCTTTTAGCCGCATTAGGTTCCCTAGTGCCTTTATAGCTAAAGGAACACCATCACACTTCTTCACTATTGTTACTCCAATGGCTTCCAATGGCGCCCGCTCCTCTGTCCTCATCCCAAATGCAAGCCGTTGAAACAAATGCCAAGAATCTTCTTCAGACAATGTCCCCATGTGCTTGACAAAAGCTGTTGCCAATCTACGAGCAACCATCTCAATACGCGTAGTTACTAACACAGCACTACCTTTAGCTCCACACCTTAATACCTCCTTTAATTTACTCCACCTATCAGTATAATCTTCCCACACATCATCCAGCACAAGCAAAAACTTCTTTCCAGTTAACTTTTGTTGAAGGCGTTGTTGCAAGTCATCCAATTTTTGAAGATCACATGAGGCACCATCAATGGACTCTATGATGGCTTTTGTTATTCTTCTTACATCGAAATCAGTAGATACACACACCCAGATCCTCAAACCGAATTGTTGCTTAACCCTTTCTTCATTGTAGGCCATTTGAGCAAGTGTTGTTTTCCCGAGCCCCCCCATTCCCCATATAGCATAAATAGGGAGATCGTCTGCACCAGCGAGCAGGATGTTGATTAGTTCCTCTTTCTCCTTGCCTCTTCCGCAAATTTCTGATTCATTCACGACTGAACTTGTATGCCGCCCATCGTAGATATCTGCTGCTACGTCCCCAACTCGTGGTGTTAAATCGAAATTCTTGCTCTCATTGGCAATGGCATCCAGTTTCTCTCTCACATTTTTCAACTTATGCGCCATTTTCAATCGAAAAACAAGTGGATTATGATCAAGAGAAAAGAAGGATCGTAGTCGATTTTTTAGATCATTTTGCAGCCGATGCCTTTGAGCTGCAATTGCAAAGTCATCCAGCACATCATCAACATCATAAGCTGCATCCTTGAGGCGTCTTAACCAAATCTCTAAAGCCTTGTTCTTCCATTGCTTCTCCTCTGCATCCTGGAGCACAGCTTGAACCATTGCGAAGGTGCTTTCGAGATTCTTAAGCTCGGTGTCAAGGCCACAAGCAAGCCCAGCCTCTTTGAGAGCCTCAAGTTCTCCAGGATTGGACTCACAAGAGCAGAAACAATTGCATCAGCCATGGCCTGTGATGCTTTGGAAAATCTGGGTGTTGGTGACAACGGAAATCGCAAGATTGGTTATGGAGATAAGAATGGAAATTTTAACGGAAACACAAGATTGGTAATGGAAAAGAGAAGTGCAGAAGGGCTTTAAATATGATCAGGAAATTTTAAAGGAAACACGAGATTGGTTATGGAAAAGAGAATTGCAGAAGGACTTCAAAAGTGAGCAGGGAATTTTAATGGAAACACAAGATTGGTTATGGAAAATAGAAATACAGAAGGACCAAACAATTTCTCACTCTTTAGCATAAAGAAAATTAATCTAACTTGGACTTGAAGTGAAGAACACTAAAAAGAAGACAAGAACATAATATGAGTTTGAACAGAGAAGGCAAGAATTTGTTCCTTGCCCAATCTCTTCAAAATCCTAGCTGTACAGCATTTGGAGTTTCACAAGGCAAAAGATTCTTATCTTGTGATCTTTTCCTTTAAACAATGACTTCTCAAAGCAAAAGGCAGCACCCCGGAATTTCACCCTGTAAGAAAACAAAAGCAAGAGAGAATCAAATGAGGATAATTCAGAGCATTTTACCTTTTTATGAAAAGCAAATCGTAAAATAGTTGGAACATAAAGCAAGTTCAAAGCATTGTTTCCCTCTGTTATCATGGATCAAACCAACATTTTCGTCATTTTTGTTTGGGATTTAACTACGATTCAATCACGGTATTGTCTTTAACATGCAGCTACTGTCTCCTTCCACATGAGAGTTTTGATCTTACTCACAGAAAACAAAACAAAAGGAAGCACTGCAACAAGAGCTAGAGTTTGGTAAATACACGTCTTAACTCATCACTTGCATCAGAACCTCCTTTCGGAGGTGACTTTTACCTCCATCCACAGACAAGAATCTTGACCCATTCTCTTTATTACAGGTTTTCCCTATAAATAAAATAAACAATATTTTAAGGTAATATTTAACCATTTAAATTATTAAATTTAAATATTTTTTAATATATTTTATCAAAATATTAAAAACGCTGTCTTTTCCTTGTTGGTCACTAAACGTCATAAATTTTAAAGAATTATATTAGGCTCCACACGGTGCGGACTTGACTAGCCATGCCTGTATTATAGTGTGGTGGGTTCCTTTTTTAAAAAAAATCAA